GAAAGTCCTAGATTGCATCTTCTTCGAATATAAGAACGTTTCGTCTATGTCGAAAAACTATACTCCAACGAGTCTGAAAACCTAGAGGAAATGGACAAAATTCTAGAAACACTCTACCCAAGCTAACACACACTGAAGTTGAAAATCTGAACAGATTCATAACAAGGGAAGAGACTGAAAAGGTAATAATCATAATAAAAAAAAATCTCAACCAAAAAAAGCCCTGGTCCCGATTGCTTCACTGGAGAATTCCACCAAACATTCAAGAGTTTACACCAGTACTACTCAAACTATTTCAGCACACAGAAATGGAAAGGATACTTCCAAGTTCATTCTATGAACTAGCATAACCCTGATACCAAAACCAAGCAAAGCACTACAAAAAAAAGAAAATTACATACCAACATCTCTCATAAATATAGAAGCAAAACATCTTGACAAAATTCTAGCCGATAGAATTCAGCATCATATCAAAAAAATATACACCGTGACCAAGTGGAATTCATACCATGTATATAAGGATGGTTTAACATTAGAAAATCAATCAATGTGATCCACCACATCAATAAAATAAAAGAATCCCATGATCATCTCAATCGAAGCAGAAAAGGCATTCAACAAAGTCCAACATCATTCCTGATAACAACTCTCAATAAAATAGGTGTAAAAGTGAAATTCCTCAACATAATAAAAGGCATCTATACAAAACCAATAGCCAACATTGTTCTTAATGGAGAGAGGCTGAAAACATTCCCCTTACAAACAGGAACAAGACAAGGATGCCCTTTATCACCACTCCTATTTAACAATGTGTTGGAAGTCCTAGCTAGAGCAATAAGGCAAGAAAAAGAAATAAAGGGCATCCAAATTGTTAACAAACAATTAAAACTGTCCCTATTTGTGGATGATAAACTATACACAAAAAACCCAAAAGACTCCACGAGAAAACTACTGGAACTAATAGAAAGATTCAGCAGAGTAGCAGGATATAAAATAAACATACAAAAATCAGTTGGGTTCCTATACACCAATAAAGAGAATGATGAAAAGGAAATCAGGAAAACAATACCATTTATAATAGCCCCTAAAAAAATAAGATACTTAGGACTAAATCTAACCAGGGATGTAAAAGGCTTATACAAAGAAAACTATAAAACACTACTGCAAGAAACCAAAATAGAACCACATTAATGGAAGAACATACCATGCTCATGGATAGGTAGACTCAACATTGTGAAAATGACAATTCTACCCAAAGCAATCTACAAATACAATGCAATCCCAATCCAAATGCCAACAGCATTCTTTAACGAGATGGAAAAACTAATCATTAACTTTATATGGAAAGGGAAAAGGCTGCGGATAAGTAAAGGACTATTCAGGAAGAAGAATAAAGTAGGAGCACTTGCACTACCTGACCTCAGAATCTATTATACAGTTATGGTAGTCAGAATAGCCTGGTACTGGTACAACAACAGATACATTAACCAATGCAACAGAATTGAGAACCCAGATGTAAATCCATCCACCCATGGTCACCTGATCTTTGACTAGGGCCCAAAGTCCATCAAATGGGAAACAGGTAGTCTTTTTAACAAATGGTACTGGCAAAACTGGATGTCCACTGCAAAAAAATGAAACAGCACCCATACCTCACACCATACACAAAAATTAATTTAAAATGTATCAAAGACCTAAATATAAAACCAAAAACTATAAAGATCATAGAAGAAAAAATAGGATCAATGCTATATGCCCTAATATGCAGGATTAACAGGATACAAACCATAACTAACAAGACACAAACTCCAGAAGATAAGCTAAATAACTGGTATCTTCTAAAAATTAAACGCTTATATTCATCAAAAGACTTCACCAAGAGTAAAAAGAGAACCTATAGACTGGGAAAAATCTTTTGGCTACAACAAATCTGACACAGGTCTAATCTCTAAAATCTATAGGAAAATCCAACACCTCAACAACAAAAAAGACAAATAATCCAATTAAAAAATGGGCAAAGGATATGAACAGACACTTCACCAAAGAAGACATTCAAGCAGCTAACAGACACATGAGGAAATGCTTTCGATCACTAGCCATTACAGAAATGCAAATTAAAACCACAATGAGATACCATCTCACCCCAGCATTATTGGCACGAATCAAAAAAAAACAGAAAATAAATGTTAGAGAGGCTGTGGGGAGACTGGAACGCTTATGCACTGCTATTGGGAATACAAAATGGTACAATCATTTTGAAAAACAATATGGTGCTTCCTTAAAAAGACAGAAGTAGAAATACCATATGATCCAGCAATCCCACACCTAGGAATATATCCTAGAGAAATAAGAGCCATTACACGAATAGACATATGCACACCCACGTTCACTGCAGCATTGTTCACAATAGCAAAAAGATGGAAACAACCTAGATGCCCATCGACAGATGAATGGATAAACAAACTATGGTACAACACACAATAGAGTACTAAGCAACGATAAAGAACAATGATAAATATGCAAAGCATCTCACAACATGCATGAATCTGGAGGGCATTATGCTGAGTAAAATAAGTCAATCAGAAAAGGAAAAATAACCGTATGAGACCACTACTATAAAAACCCATGAAAAGGTTTACACACAAAAAGAAACAACCTTTGATGGTTATGAGGCAGGGGAGTGGTGGGGATGGAAAATCACTAAACAGACAATAGATAAATGGTAACTTTGGTGAATGGTAGGACAATACACAATACTGGGGAAGCCAGCACAACTCGTCCAAGGCAAGGTCATGGAAGCTCCATAGATACATACAAACTCCAAGGGACCAAATTACTGGGCTGAGGGCTGTGAGGACAATGGTCTCAGGGTACATCTAGCTCAACTGGCATAACATAATTTATAGAGAAAATGTTCTACGTTCTACTTTGGTGAGTAGTGTCTGGGGTCTGAAAAGCTTGTGAGCGGCCATCTAAGATACTCCACTGGTCTCACCCCATGTGGAGCAAGGAAGAATGAAGAAAAGCAAAGACACAAGGGAAAGATTGGTCCAAAGGACCAATGGACCACAACTACCACAGCCTCCACCAGACAGAGTCAAGCACAACTAGATGGTGTCTGGCTACCACCACCAACGGCTCTGACAAGGATCACAACAGAGGGTCCCGGACAGAGCTGGAGAAAAATGTAGAACAAAATTCTAACTCACAAAAAAAGA